GTGTGGCTGGTTTTGTTGTTTGGGGGTTTTTTTTGGATGCATCCAATTATTACTTCCTCATAAAGTGATTTTTAACTTCTTTTCATAACACCTCTCAACATACATTTACAATTCTTATGCCCATTTAAACAAACAAACAAAAAAGGCAAGTACAACACTGTGCAATCTTATCATATAAAAGCATGTAAAGATAGATATTTTTTCACTTTGATAGTAAATTAGTTATGACAGCTGTTCTCAAGAGTTTCTACAAATGAAATTATTACAGGTTAATTTTGTTTTAACAATAAAATGCTTCTGACTACATGTATATTGGATAATGCACTTCAACATATTGTCTACCACTAAGAGCCCAGCAAGCTCTGCAACTTGACGCTGTGGACGCTAGCTGGCCCAGGAGTGCCGCCTCATCAGAGCCATGCAAGGTCCAGCAGAGAACCCCAAATCATCGGGAAATGGGGAAGAGTCAGTAACAAAAGCCCTTGCTTGCAGGGAGGATCACTATACATTTCAGACAGCTCCCTGCACTGAGCCAACCACATACACACCACAGCTCTCCATGATCAGAACTTGATGTTCCAGGTCCCAAACAGATCAGGAACACCAAATACCAAATGCATTTTCAAATAACTAGTATTTTGGACCTTAATGATGTATTAATTATAAAGTTAACAGTTAAATTTAAGACTAAAAAAACCCAGAAGATTTATTTACTTTAGAACTGCTAGAAAAGAACCACATTTACTCAGATTTTACCCCAACTTTAAGGACGGGAAAAAACCCAACATGCTGCTTCCCGCCCATAAATAAAATAAATATTTTAACTTTTGATTTGTATTTGAATAAACACACACAACCCAAATGAATTATAGAAGTGATCCCTAGCAAGAACATAATAAAACTTCCAAATATATGACAACTCAAACATTTTTAAAATGTTGAGACCTTTAACAATACAGTAGATTTATTTCTATCTCATTTTCGCATTCTTTGTCATCCTCAAATAAAAAGTAAAATTGGGCTGCTGTGTTACAGATTCTACTGTGAACTCTGCCACTGCTTTCCCAATACAAAGTAAACTGGGAATGTACACAAGCGCCACTTGGGTAACAGTGGCAATGAAGATTCACCACTTCACACTCTAGCATTATAATGGTTTTTATCAGTCATACCTCATCTTGTGCATCTGCTGCAGAAGTTAACTTGAGCACGGCTTCACATTTATCTTGGAAACAACCTGTAAGGAAGTCAGCATGTCTCACGAACACGTTAATTTCTTCACTAGTAACTGGGTTCTTCTCACTTACTTTTGTCATCATCAGCTCTAACAAAGTAACTCTAGAATCAGAAAGGAACTTGTTAATCAAATTCACTAAGCCACATAGAATTATCAGTAGAATAATCAGATACAGTTGTTAAAAATGATACAAATAATTAGCATGCTAGCACCAGAGCAGGTTTTTTAAAATTAAGAAGTCTTATGAACACTGGCAATCAGTACCTGTTCACTGGTTTGTTTCTGCACATCATTAATTTATTTCATCATTCAATGAATACAATCTGTCCAGACAGTTAAGTCAATATTTTTCAAGTCTACTTCAATTTCTAATTTCTTATGTCCTAACACAACATTACTGTGACTGCATATTCTGTATGTCTAAAATTTCCACCAAAAGGGCTCTTAAAAACTGTTGTTAAGTTCAGCAAAACAAACACAGGCTATTTCTCAGCTTCCGTTTGAAAATACCAGCTTTCCACAGCCCTTGCCTTGCACGCAGTCCTTCACTAATTCTTCTCCTCAACACCAGTTCTGAGCAGAAACAGGGAAAATAAAATTGATATGTACACTCGGGTCTTTACTTATAATTGACACTGGATGAACTACAGTAAATCCAAGTTCATTATTCGTATACCCAGTAAGAGTTATTCAGTGTATTAAACCACCAAGTAAGTGGATACACAATGAAGCTGCTCTATAAAAATGTACTTGGGTCATTTGTTTTATCAGCTTCAATTTTGTTTTGTTTCTGGTATCCCTTCATGTTGTTAGGGCAAACTGGGAGTATTTTGTGGAAGCAGGACTTTAACGTGGCAGAAGCCCTCCTACCGCATCCCTGTTCAGCACAGAGGAGCACATGGGTTAGTGAAGTCCCACTGTAATTCTCTCAGCCTGAAAGAGTGCTACTTATTGAATGAATTCAAGAGCAGGCTCAGGGTTTTCTTTCACTAAAATATTTGCAATTCAGATGGTAGGACTGACATTTAAACATGTGGAATAGTTCAAATGCTTTTTCTTTTTTTAAATTTACCAAGCAGGTTGTCACAAGGGGAAGAGAAATGTCTTTTTCTGTGGAAAAAGCACGGTCACTGCTTTATTAACCTCAAGAACCCACCCCTATTAATCATGTAACAGCTACTCAGTTCTTGCTAAGCTCAGCCCTCAGTGTCATTAATACAGCTGCATTAAACAATTATCTGAATGAGGACAAAAAGCTTTTTCAACACGGTAGCACAGAAATGCGCTCAACACGTTAGGGAAAGGGTGGACTCCAGACAGGAGGCTGTCAAACACTGGTAACCTCTCTCACAGGCTTCACTTACGTATCTGACAGAACACCAACACAGAATTTGTTCTGTTTATTCTGCGGGTTACAGTTGGGTGCCACACACTTGCCCATCTACAAACTACCAGAGTCCAGTTACCCAACATCCCTAACTGAACGAAGGCTTTCAGATCTGGCGTACTACACAAAAATCAAGTTAAATGCACAGACGTGTCATTCATCTCCTAGACAGGCCTAGATTTTACATGCCAGTTTTTACCAAGTTCAGAACCTTTCAAGAATATACTCACATAAGAAAATAGTCTGCTCATAGACTTTATAATTACAAGGATTATTCCTATGAAATTAACTCCTGTGTAACAGATTTGCGGTCAGTTATTGTTGCACCAGCAAACTAAATAATACACGTTTAAAAATGACAAGCAATCCTTCTGTAAAGAAATTGGAGGGACACCACATACTTCCATAGTTTATATTAGAGAGATGAACTGGTTGCCAACAGGGAGATCTTTTGCATTACTCTTCCCCTTGCAATATAATCAGGTGCCCTTTTAGACAACCATAATACTTTCAGAGAAATAGGAGTGACATTAAAGTACCACTTGTATGTAATTTCTTTAAAAGTTTTATGTCCTCTTGAAGCATTCATGTCAAAACTGTTTTCCGGAGTTTTCTTCCTGGCACAGTCATTCAGGACATGCCCATCCTTCCCCTGAATTTCAAGCAAGTCTTGCCATTCAGCCAACAGTTTCCTGTGAGCAATGCTTTTTGTTCTGGTGCAAGTTCCCTTACACTCTTTTCTTCTATTGTTTCCTCCAGTTTTCTTCCAAGACTCACCCGAATTTTTCCAAGTTAGTTGTCCTACACAATGTAATTTGCTCATTTCTTTTAAACAATTTCACAACTGTTTAGCTATTCAGATGATAGTATGCTCCTACTTGTTTGCCTATGGCTAAATACAAGAGATATGACAACTGTTACTGCCAGTTTTAGCATCTCATAATGAATTTTGGTAACACTTCACTATCTACAATATATTATTGTATATTATGTTTATGATTATATTTCTGTTTGGAAATGATCACGCCATAAGTGTCACCATCTTTTTCTTTAGGCAACATTTAGGAAGACTTTTTGTCAATCTCTTGCTTTTTTCTTCCCCTAGCTAAATTTAAACCATTTCTTCCTGAAGATGATCAAATTGTCAAGAACTCAGAACAACTACTATAAAGTATTTGCAATCATCAGTAAAACATATTGCTGTCTCCTATAGTCTGCAAATAAACCACATCATTAAAGTGCAATTTAAATCTCGAAGCTCCTTATTGCAAATTAAAGTGAAGTCCTGCTAAGCCTGTCTAAAAATATTACTGTAAAATTCTATCAATGTTATTACTGCCAAACAATTTTCGAATCAAGCGTGCTTAGTTTATAACCACTTAGCAAGTGCCAGACACTTGGGACACTCTCTGCAATGGGGACTTCAGTTCCTGAAATGCTTCACTGACAGCAATGGTTCTATGAGACAAATTAGGTCCTTCCTAAAATTTTCCAATTCTTTCATCTTTGAACGATACCTGTAAGCATCCTATTAAATGTAAATTGGTAAATTTGTGAAGTATTACAATCCAACACTACCTTCTTGTGACCATTACCAAGAACAAAAACCCAACACAACTTTGACATTAGCAGCCCCATAGCCAAACGTCAACAAGAACAGGTGCTGCTTACACTACCCGAGTACCCGTTTCCCTCCTGATAATTTGGTCAACAGTTACATCATTCACTGAGAACACTTAACATGAAATAACACAAAAATCCAAACTAAAGGTGCAAGTAGTTGAGCATCTTAAAAACACCTGAAGCTATTCAGTTGCATTTTTGTTGCTGCTAATTAAAGCAAGACCCCTTCTTAAAAGGGAAAACATAGATGTACTCACTTTGAAGATTTTACAATGCAATTAAGACTATCAAGGCATTAACTTACATTGTCCATGCTCAAGGCTAACTTGGATTAAAGCAAAGCAGGCTTATTCTAAATATTTCTGCCAAATACTTGCACACACATGCAGGGAAATCTCAAATCTGGCAAAGAATTCACAAATCCAAAATCTTTTGGCTCAATAGCATAGCCATATGTTCCTGCAATAATCACTTGCAGAGAAACAACAGGCATTGTCAGTGTCATACCATCATACAGTTTTCAAAGCCAGAATACCATTGAAAAAGCTGATGACAGTAACACAGTATTTATTTCAGGCCATTTGCAAACTCAGATATGCAACACCAAAGTCCTTAAATTTGTTTTGAAATGAAAGAGAAACTTGTCCAGAAGCCAGAAATTTGTCTTTTCATTGAAAATTCAGGGTCCAGATCCATTTCTACAACAAGAACTACTTCATGGCATGCACCATGGCCACAACATCACAAATGGATTTAAATTACAGGAAATACTTTGAATAGTGTGAATACTGCAAATAGTGCAAATAACTGCAGTTACGCAACTGCATATACTTTAGTTATCTAAGGCAACTGCCAACACTAACAGTCACTGCTAATGTACGCATTCGCAAACTTTCTCAGCACAGTTAATTTAGTTTCAGTAAATACATTTAAAGTAAGTGTATTTAATGTGCATAATAGAGAATACTGTAACTGAGAGTTACCATATATTCATGAACTCAAGCTGCTTTCCCCAGACACCTTAATACCACATCTGTCCTTTCTCCATTTATATGACTTAGTCAGCCTTATTGGACACCCAATGTGGCAACTCTGCGGTGAAGGTTCCTTGTCTCGTTTTGAAACAATGAATTCCCTATGCTTTGGTTTATACGGGTACTTTTTTCTGCAGTTAATGACAGTCAATGTTTTTATTCGAATTGGATTCATCTCCTCATATATCTCAAAATAATGCATTCTTAAATACGCTAACATTATGTGGGAAGATGCCACAGCAGGGTTTTCTTCTGTGACTCAGATGCAAAAGGACTACTTGAAATACTAGGGCCCTGAACGAAAGTCGACCTCTAGGTGAACCTCACAACCTAACAATATACCCAATACATATCATATTGATCACATATGCAAAATATAACCTTATGAATACATGCCAATTTATAAAAGCTTTTGTTGTAACTCTTATAGAGAATTGCTGTAACGCTTGCTGTAAGATAACAGTTGTGTAACGGTAGCCCCACTTGCCAAAGAGAGATAAACCTATCTCAAACCTTCAAACAGACCTCTACATGACAGAAGGTAGCAGGGCGGTGACGGGCGTTGTTTAAAGACACATAATCAAAGATAACCAGACACCTTTACTTCTTCTTAACCTTTTCTCAGGCTCTGGCCAAGCACAGGAAAAAGTTAACATGGGAAAAAAAACTACACCAGATGTTTTTCGCAGCTTAGGATAGAAAGTTGTTTATTTAACCGTATAAAAGCAGGGACCATTTGCAGGGAAATTTGGAAGCCTCCTCTATACAGTGGACGCACTGTATAGAGATTTCCCAATTGCCGGGATGAGTTCTCCAAATCCTTCGCTGTAAACGGGCTCCCCAGCGTCCGCGGATCTGGATGATGGTAACATAGGGCAATTGGTGATGTATCTTTCTTAAGCACTAACGCTAACTCTATGTAGTAATGATTAGGTGCATTTCCTTATTTTGTGCTTGCTATAGTAGTTTGCTTGTTGTCTTGCTGCTTTACCTTATCTTGCTTTATTTTCTCTGTACTATTTTCCTCCCTACTTTGTCACTTTGGACATAAGTAAAAATAAGTTTACTTTTTTTTTGGTGCCTGATTGCTTTGTGCTATCCCCGTCAATTGGCAAAACACTACTTCTACACCACTTATTGCCATATGTTTGACAGTAAATTAAGCAGTATCAAATTAATAATAAACTGTACTGTTATTATGTTTTTGAAAAACTTAATTGAGTTTACTTGATTTGTGGAACTCTTGGGACTGATAATAAACTCAGCGAATATGCTCTGACTAGCCATCCCACATGTGTTCATCCATACTATGCCTACACCAAAAGCCTTTCGGTTGAGGCAGCTGACGACCATCTGTAGCACGGTGTGTGCAACAAATTCAGCTGAGACCTTTCTAGAAACTGATTACATCTACTGCTTTAAGTACAACTGAACACCCTAACCCAGTCCTGGCTCTCCTCAAGAGGATTATGGAAATGTACAAACAAACTGCCATTCATAACATCCCCCAAAAGAATTAAATCTAGCTCATTCACTTAAAACAGTCTTTCCTGATAACTGGTTAAGGAGCCCCTCCCTCCAGGCACAGTAAGCACACAGATCACATTCATTCCCATTTGGTCAGCTTGAATAAAGGAGGAAGTCAGTATTTCCCCCCTTATCATTCCTATCCCTTGTTTTCCACCCCATACCTATATAGTAATGATACTGTATGGTTCTCAATCCATCATATACTCTTTCTTTGCCTGCCATCCCTTTTGTTTCTTTATCATCTCTGATCAGAGTCTGCACCCCCATTTGTAATAACCCCATGGCTTCAGTTACAGCAAAAAAAAACACAGGGAAAAAAAAATATTATGGGACTGCTCTGTTTACTGCTTTGTCTTTCACCTTCAAAAACTATACAGGGAACTTGCAGTTCCCCTGGGAGAATGGGGAACAAAGTAGCCATGTTGAATACATAAACAAGATCACAAGATCTTCAAGCAGTTGGAGGAGCTGTAGAATTACAGTAGAGGATTTCCCAAAGTTGATTATTCTAACAAATTTTTTTATCTTCCCTGTTCTTTATTAAAGCAATTATAGATGAGCATTTTCCCAACAACAGCAATGGCCATTTCCCATCAATTCAGCATAGGTTTACTCATACACTTGAAGGAAAACTAGCCAGTTTCTTTCAAGGTGGAGGTTTGCTGAAGCAATTTATATTTTCAGTAGTGGAAATACTAAATGATTACGTAATTATGGGCATCTGCACATTTATGGTTTTTAGGTTCTGCTAACCAGTACTAGATACACTTCCAACCTTAGTAAAGGCTTCCTTTCAATTTCTTGTAATTACATCAGGAGTATGAACAGCTGAGGACATTTCAAATACATCTGTAAAACACTGTAGGGGGTGGTGCTCTTATGAAATCAAGACACAAGCATGAAATCTTGTCTTTTTTTTTTTTTTAAGTATTTCTTTACTGAGTAATGGCGCCAACCTGGATTCTGCAACCCAACGTAAATCACTGCCAGTTGTGGCTAAGCTGTAATGTTAACCAACCAATTTAAAACCATTACTGACATAGAAACATGTATTTAGAGATTTTGTGCCAACTATGAAACCACACAGTTTTTCAATCATGTGAACAGGATACTCTATATGGAATGCTAAATACTAAAAGCCACATTGGTTTTTGGGGTTACCTTTCTTGATTGCTCAGTTTGGCATAGAGGGCTTTTACCAACTCTGGACATTTCAGCAAATGGTCTGTAACAATCAAGAACCTGAAGAAAAAAACAAAAAAAAGCGTTATTGGTGCTACAAAGACAGCATCTACATTTACTCCAAATGGTGCTGGTTATTTTTACTTGTAAATGACTGTATGACTGCTTCTGGTCCTATTTGCTAATAGTTACAAAATGTCATAAAATAATTGTGCATTGTTCTGCACTATTTTTCCTAATACATCTACGGCTAATTCCCATCAATTCAGCACACTTTTACTCAAATGCTTGAAGGAAAGCTGGTTAGAGTCTTTTGCCTGTTATACAAAAGGCACACCCCAATTCAAATAATAAAACACTTACCGAGTTGTTTATGCATCTCAGCAAAGAGCCAAAATTCAATCTTGAAAACTATTATGCCACTCATCACAACACTGTTTTTAAGCCCACCAAACAGTCAAAAGAGTGTCCAAATAATTTATCTTTTAAAAAATTTCTAACAAACCTTCAAAGCAAATGGAAACTATTTGTCAGATGCCAGGCAGCAAATCACTGTTCTCAACTTACAAAATATACCCTCCTTGTGTAATAGGAACCTAAGCTGATAACCAAATCTAACTACTTGCTCTATGAGGCAGGTAGGTATGGTCAGTGCTGATGCTAATGCCAGTGTTCACACTGATGACTTTCCCAAGCACCATTCACAGTAGTCAACAGCACATGCTAGTCATTTAATTTCAACCCAGACATGTACCCTCAGCATTATGTAAAAAAACAAAGTAGGTAAAAATATTTTTCTCCCCAAATTACATTCCTAGAAGTACTGACAGTGTCATATATGCTGCATAGGTACATGCATACTAAACTACACATTTTTAAAGCAGCGTGTCTATCCACTAAATATAAAATAATCACAGGTCAAATATCGGGGCATCCTCTGAGCTGACGAAGCTACTGAGAAAGAATAGCTACAATAATATGAAAACCAAGCAATTTTAACATTCCCTGCACCTCCTCCCTACTTTTCACTTTCCTGACAGCCTTCTATTTTATGTGTCCGTAAGCCACTACATAGCTAACAGGAAGATCACATAGAAGCCTTCCAGCTGCAACAAAGTATTTTTTGGACAAATATTCAATGACAATCGGGGAAATAGGAGAAGAAGAGGTCCAAAAGATTAATAGTTACTATATTTCTAACGGTAAGTGTGGACTTAGCCAGCATCTGGTTCAGTTATTGTAAACTACACATTCTTAAGAGGGGGAGAAAGAAGAAAAGCTATTTTGTGCTGTGCTTTTTTTTTTTTTTTAACTGATATTTGCACACACCTTCAAGGGAAAAAATAGTATAGGGGTAGGGAATCATCAACTTAAAATTGGCATTCTGAGCAGTGTAGCATTGATTTAAGAGTCTTCTCAACACGAATTTGAACCTTGCAGACTTCCCCAAAATCAACAGCACAAATCTATTCCAACTGAGCAGTGCAGACTCAGCCATAACAACTGAATCAGGCCATCAACAGGGCAGTCAAGCAGAACACTTCTACAGTTCCTGAACCAACAATTCACGGCATACAAGCCATCCACAGTAAAATCTTCTAAAGTCTAAAACTGACTTGATTTTTTTAAGAATTTAAGTAGAAGCAAAGGCTTTTATCTGGAGCTGCCAAAGAAAAAAGCATAATAATTGGAGTTGTGCAGAACACAGTACCTAGCCTCATAACATACAAATTTCAGCTGACAATGAATTATGGCAAACAACACTTAAGGAGACAATCTGAAGCCCAAGTTTTCAGTTTTGCAGTTGGGACTATGAATTTAAATTTAATTTGCATTATTAACATTACTTTGAGGAAATACTCTTTACTACTCACCTTGTAGTTAAAAAGCAATCAATAATTATCATAAAAAAATCCAATGCTACTAGGTGCACATCAGTGATTACTACTGCAAATTAGAAGACCTGTATTTCGGTCATTACTTGGGTTTATACTCCTGTATTTATTCACACACATCTTTCACATTCTGTAGACTAGACTACTATTGCTTGAGGAGCTTGCAGTACTTCAGAATAATGTTTCTGCTTATAAAGAAGCATAAACTTCTGTATATGCTTCTTACTCTTCTAATTTCGTGACATGATGTAACACCTCAGAAATTTCTGCTTCTGTATTTAAGTTTCTCTTTTACTTTATCCACTTCCTTCATTACTGTGTCATAAAGAACAGAGCACTAGCGTATTTATAAGTGCATCACTAAGAAATAACAGAAGAATAATCAGCGGAATAAAGCACTTTCAACTCCTGCTTGTCAAGCCCAGTAATTTTGGTGGTAGTTAAGCAAGGACATGGGAAATTAATATCTTCAGTCCTCAGCTCTCGCTTTTTTCATTTGGGACAGAGGAGAGAGGAGGAAAAGACCATCCACAACTCAAATAAAGACATTCAGTTTCGGGTTACTGGCTGAATATGGCACTTCAGATGCACACAAAAGGCTTTAGCAAGAGACTTAAACTCTCTTTGGGGGCCAACAGCAGAACCAGTGGGATAAACTGAGCACCACTGTAATTCACTCAAGGAAATGGTGAAAATTAAAGTTGTTATGCAAGTGTAACACAGTAACAAATGAACAATGTTAAATATGTCAATTTTCTTGACCTTTAAAAAATTGTTTGGCTAAAATCCTAAAAAAATCAAGTGCTTACATAGTAGATAAATACAGGAGGAGATGTTCAGTTCAAAGACTTTACAATAGCACAAGGGTTGCATTGTACCAAACTGAACTTGAGAAGCAGCCAAAATGAAATGGTATAAGCTACATTTGCACTCAGCATATTCCAAATGACCACTAAGCTTTCTCCAATCAAAGCCAGGTGTAAGCAATCAACTTTATAATCAAATGTCATGCTCTATATTAAGTTGATTTGATCCCATTAGCAAGTTTACAGAACAGTGTCCTTGGTCTCAGAAAACGAGGAAGAAAACCCTCACAGATGTTTTAGAAGAAAGACAAAAAGATGTGGCGATTCTCTATTTGATCAGCAAACCTCTCTTCCAAACTCAAAACCAAAAGCATTTTACATCATCCTACAATAATGTCACTCTAAAATATTTAGTAAAAACAAATGTTATAAATCATCCAAATTTGGAAAAAAAAGAAGAAAATGCAGATGGCTACCTTTTCAAAGCCGTATCACCAGCCTTTTTAGATGCTAAAAAAGCAATAGGCCTCATGAGGAATTTTTCAGGACCAGAAAGTATTTTGGAAGCAGAAGTAAGTTTTGTCCTTGCACAAGAATATAAGTACTCTATCAAAACTATTTAAAGAACAATTACAAGTATAAAGCTATTTAATAACAAACGGAACACACATGGTGTCACAAAGACCTTTAGAAATCAGAGAATTCAACCCATTCAAACACCAGCACTTTTGCTCAAAAGAATAAGGAAACACATTTCCATATTTAAGGTTCAACTCCAAGTGTCAAACATCACAATAATCCCCTTCTGAGCTGAATCAAGCACAACAGCAAACATCCTTCAATCTTCAAAAGGCATTACCCATAATGAACACATCCTCTTTATAGGCCATGATACTGTTCAAGTCAATTCACAGGTCTAGAAGACTGAGTTCAGACTACCTGCAGTATTTCTCTGACTCACAAGACACTCTCATTCAATTTGACAGCTACATCCAAAAGGCACTAAATAGAGATTTATTTTAGTTATGTGCAAATTTGGAATCATTTTTTTCTGACAAGCTACCAAGAAAAAACTAGCACTTCCTGCTCCCTCCTCTCCACAAAATATACAAGAAGAAAGAGGTGACAAGATAAATAAGTGTGAGGCTCGGCTTTGAAAGACTGAGGAAATCTGTACCAATACACTGAATACACTGCCACTGCAAATAGCAAGTAGAAGCTGCTCAGACCTCTACAACTAAGGAAACTTTCCCAATTGTCAGTACTATTTAAAACCACAGTTGAACTTGGAATCTGCAACATAACTCCAACTTTCCTGGAATTAAAAATAATAATTACTTTCTGAAGACTAGAAGGGGGCTGGGAACACCCTAGACTGTCAGGGAGAAGAGACAGAGCTACCAGTCTGGGGGGGGGGAAGGAGGAGGAGTTCCATCTTTGCCTTTAAATCTGTGCCCATGGGCAAGACTCCTTGTCACAGAAGCACTAGTTTCTGTCCATGCTTTTTTCCATAAGCCAGGACAAAATAACCAAAAGGCAGAAAATGGGGAGAGGGAGCCCCACATCCTAATCTTTACACTCATCACTGAGCTGTGGTTTCAAAAAGAGAAGGTGGATGTTCAGAAAATCTTACTTCCAATGCCAAACAGCTGACCACACTCTTAATATCGTTTTTCAGGAAGCCAAAAGGCATATTATGCCTCTTTTTTTTGAAATGGAGGATTTTTGTTCCTTGCTCTTCAGGAAGCAAAAATACAACCTGTTTTTTCTTTCCATAGTAGCTACACTGTCCCATGCATACACTTGGAAAAACTGATGACACAAGCTATACGGTCATCTCTAATGGAACCACCAAAGTATTTCTAAAACAAACAGTTTTTAGAATACACGTTGGTCTTGGTTAGGATAAATTATAATGTAATTTTGTACTACTTTTTCCTAATTATTTTACAAAACACATATGTTTGCAGGTTCAATATTCTAAAATAGAACTCGTGGCATTCTGTGCTGGTTTTTCTTCTAAGTACAGTAGCTTCTAAACTGTGTGACAAACTTTTCTGCTGTTGATTAATACAAACCCAAAAGGGAGTGGATATGGATGTATGGGGAAACACAGAGGAATGACTTTTTAAAGGCTCCACAATTTTCCAAAGCCTAAGGCATAGCTCTCTGCATGTTTTCAGAAAAAGCTTTTATTGGGGGGGGAAGAGAAGGCAGTGCTTGGCAAGCCTTTCAGCATACTGTGCATATGACATGAGATACAGCTTGTGCTTTCTTCTTCCTTTGGAAGTGCAAGGGAGTTTATTACAGAGAACACTTCAGACCTTGGTAGCAATCACACAGAAATAGTGAGAAGGAC